TCTGCCGTGTGAATAAAAGTTCACATTCATATGTTGAAGTTTCTTTTTGGAAATAGAGAGGAAATTTGAAGCTTAAAACCCCGGTCTCCTATGCAGAATATCTTGAGGAATATTCAAGGAGAATGTTCAAGCCTAGCACTGATTTCATCCACTTTCTCTTCAGTGAGCACCCAGAATTTTGAGTAGTCCCCCCACAGTGACAGTCCTGTCCATCTTAATATATTGTAACGTCTTTCGTTACACCAGTGTAACGTGTTTCTCGTTACCGAAGACGCCGTAGAGACGGTTAATTGGTTTATTTAACAATCTACAAATAACGGCTACAATTAATTATCACACAGTTGCGGGGTTTCACACTTTATAACCCTAATCGCATTAATCTGTCGACACTGTTGCGGGGTTTCACGATTTCTAACCCTATGCGCAAATCAGCTCACTCTGTCTTCAGTTGTATACACGTTGACAGTAGGGGAGCTGGTATCACTGTATCACACGCTCCCAATTACACAATTTCACACACGTCCGGATCTTCTTTCCGCGACGGCTGCTATACTCCAACTTGTAGTCGGCTGGCTGTTACTTTATAACTCGGAATGTCTTCGGCGGTAGCCACACTGGAACTCGAACTCGAACTGATCGATACGCACTGTGCATCCACTTATATAGCTGCAGTGCTTGCCTGTGGCGTAATGAGTGCCACGTCACAGTAGGACGTTGATTACGGTTACGTTAGCGTTGCGCGTTACGTCACCGCGGAGGGGAGTGGCGGGGAGCGCTACGTTACCGTGGAGAGGAGGGTGGAGGGGGGTTCTCAGTCGCGCAACATGTTACAATATTTATAACTGTACAAGTAATCTTTCTATATTGAACTGTTACTAAAAATTAGAACATACAAAACTGTAATTTTACTTCTGGTTCTGTATGGGTGTGAAACTTGGTCTCTGACATTAATGGGGGGGTCATAGAAGAACAGGGTGCTGAGGAGAATATTTGAACTGAAGGGGGATGAGGTGATAGTAAGTTGAAGACAACTGCATAATAAGGAACTTCAAAAGTTATACTCTTTGCCAGGTGTAATTAGAATGATAAAGTCAAGAGGGATGAGATGGGCAGGGTATGTAGCACGAAGGAGGAGAAGAATGAATATAGGATTTTGATGGGAAAACCAGAAGGAAATAGACCATTAGGAAGACCAAGATGCAGGTGGGTGGATAATATTAAAATTGATCTTGGAGAGCTAGGATGGAGTGGTATGGACTGGATTGGTTAGGCAAATGATACAGACCATTGGAGGGCTCTCGTGAACATGGTAATGAATCTTTGGGTTCAATAAGATTTCGAGAAATTCTTGAGAAGGGCTCAGCTCCATGCATTCCAGAACATTCCAATCCAAATTTCAGGAACTGTAACATCCTGAAATTTACATTGGAATGTTCTCCATTTCTTACATAACCACAGGAAATGTACATGAACACCAATTCCAGTGTAACTTGCATGTGGCATTATTAAATATGGTATAGCATGAACTGAGTAACTGACTGCTTACAGCACAAATCAAGTAAAGTAACAGTAAAAGCGTGGGGATCAGGATTCATGAGTGGGCCAGTATAAAACTCAGCAACCCACTTCATGGTAGCTGTTGAACTATTTATTTGGGCAAAATTGTGATGTGGTATGCTGTTGGGTTCCAGTAGAACTCAACATGCTGACTTGATATAAGGAGCATCTGTCTTTTCTGTCTTAACTAGTTCTGTGACTTAATGGGAAGCTCTCAGATGATTGCACTGTAGTAAGATTTGCCAGGTACTGTAAAAATGTTAAAAATGTGCTATAATATGCAATAAAGTACTGTCATGATAAACTAGACATAGTGAAGATTTATTATTTTAAGAGATTTTACTAGAAGAACCCTTTGAAGCATCTGCATTAATTTAAAAATCATGTCCTATCTTAGAGCAAAAAGAAAACGTAGTTACAGTTAGTGTGAACAATGTGAGGCATGAAGCTGGCAGACATTTCTGGAACAAAAAGAAGTATGTGAAGCACAAAATGAACTTGCAGTACACAGCACATAGAACATAAGAGACTTGTACAGAGGAGTAAATGAATGTAAGAAGTGTTACAGACCAACTTTGTAACAGATGAGAATGGTAGTCTGCTTGCAGACTCCTACAACATTTTGAATAGGTGGAAGAATTACTTATTTCAGCTATTGAATGTACATGGAATCCGTGATTTTATGCTAATAGAAATACATAACATCTGAGCCATTAGTACTTGAGCCTTGTTCTTTTGAGGTTGAAAAGTTAGAAATTGAAAAAAAAAAAAAAATTAAAGTTACAAATTCTGGCAGAACTGATTCAAGCAGGAAGTGAAATATTACATTCTGAGATCCATAAACTCATTAATTATATTTGGAGTAAGAAAGAATTGCCTGATCCGTGGAAGGAGTCCATTATTGTACCAACATGCAAGAAGGGTGATAAAGCTGACTAATAATTATTGAGGCATATCACTGTTATGAACTTCATGTAAAATTTATTCAGCATTCTCACGATGTTAAGTCCGTATGTAGATGAAATTGTCAAGGATTATTAGTGTGGGTTTCAGTGTAACAACTCAGCTACTCATCAGATTTTTTTCTTTTGTCAGATACTCAAAGAAGGAGTATAAATAGACCATACATCAGCTATTTGTGATTACAAGAAAGCCTAAGGATCAGGTAGGAGGGAATTATTGTGCAGTATTCTTACATATTTTGGGGTACCCATGAAACTAGGTATGCTGACCAAAATGTGTTTAAATGAAATCTTTACTAAAGTCCATATAGGTAAATATTTAGCACATTTCCTATTCACAATGGTCTAAAACCTGGAGAGTGTTATTGCAATTGCTTTTCAACTTTGCTTTAGAATACACCATTAAGAAGGTCAAAGAAAACTGGGTTGGACTGAAATTGAATAGAATACAGCAGCTTCTGATCTATGTGTATGATGTATGTGGTCTGACAATAAAGTTAGCAAACTATCCACCATGTGCTTGCTGTGGCAGTGGTAGACAGAAACCTGAGTATGGTTTGATGACTGGCATATTAGTGTTTCACAGCCGTGTTGTTGATCTATGGCAGTCTCTTTCTGATTGGGGTCTGCTATTGTCAGAATGTGTTCAGGTGTGTCATCGCGAGAATATCGGAATTAACATGAAATTTCTTGTTAAACTTGGCAAGAGTGGAAGTGAAATCAGAGAGATGTTAGTGCAAGCTTACAAGGATAACGTTATGAAGAAAACAGCAGTTTACAAAGGGGCGATAAGTTTTTCTGAGGAAAGAGAAAGTGTCATTAAGAGAGATCAGGATAGCCAGCAACAAACATAACTGAAGAAAACATTGCAAAAGTTCATCAAATTATGCATGAAAATCATCGGCTGAATGTCAGGAGCATAGCAGAGCAAACAGACATTGACAGAGAAACAGGAAAATGTTAACTGAAGATCTTGCATGCTGCTACTAGTAGACTTGCTGTTGTGGTGTTCTCTTGATGTAAAAAGCAGTGACTGCTGCTAGCATGTCGAAGGTCCCAATCTTTATACTTTTGCTGCTAGGCAGTACACAAATCAGTGAGCATTGGAGCTGTCCTGGTGAGGGCTTGCCTCACTATGGGAGGCTCCCACACTAGTAAGGAGGCTGGTCTAGAATTAAACACAGAGGAAACTAAGTATATGTTGATATCTTCATAATGCAGGGCAAAGTGACATGAAGATGACTTTGAATATATGGCAAAGTTAAAATATTTGGGAATGACAGTAACAAATCAAAATTTGATTCATGAGGAAGCTAAGGACAGATGAAATTCACATAATTCTTTCCCCCATTCAGTTCAGAAACTTCTGCCTTCTCATATGGTGTCTAAAATTTTCAGCATTAAAATATGCAAAACTATAATTCTGACCAAGTTTGTATGGTTTGAAACTTGGCCACTCACATGAGAGAAAGCACATAGACTGAAGTATTTGAGAGCAGATTGCTGAGGGCAGTGTCTGGATTGAAGGGAAATGAAAGAAGTGGAAGTTGGAGAAAATTGCTTGAAGAGGAGCTTCATAACTTCCACTCTTCACCAGATATAAGTAGAACGATCAGGTCAAGGAAATGTGATGGTTAGCGTTAGGGTACATACCATGCATGGGGGAGAAGAGGAATACATGTAGGTTTTTGGTGGGATAGCCAGAAGGAATGAGACCACTAGGAAGACATAGGTGGGAGGATAATATTAAAATTGGTTTTGGAGAGACAAGATGGGTTGGTATGTGCTGGACTGATCTGGTTCAGGATAGGGTCCAATGGCACACTCTTGTGAATACAGTAATGAACCCTCAGTTTTCATGAAAATTTGGGAAATAGTTGAGGAGCTGACAGCTTTCTTGAGAAGGATTCAGCTCCCTGGTGTTAGTTTTAGCTAATTAGTGGGCATAATAGAGAGATGTTTTTAATGGTGAAACATGGTACCCTTAATCAGAAAATCTACTGATCATGGCACTACATCTGCTTGATGTAGCCAGGAAGGTCATAGTGTGGGGGCCGGTTTTTATGGCCCACCCCATACATACATTGATGTAGCCAGTATACATACATAAAAAACACTGCTGTAGAAAATTATGAAAATTTGAACGAAATATTTATAATTTGGGGTTGAATTAGAGCATCAGTTTCTCTGACAGAAATAATGCTACATCAACTCTAACCTCAAACATCCATAATGTTAATACGTTCAACGGCAAGTATTGTATCCATAAAAAATATACGTCGATCATTTTCAAGGAATACGGCAGTCAGCGTAATGAATGAACCCATCCTGATACTGAGTCTTTGATAATTTAATTGAATAAAAATAGCAGTAATTACCAGCTATAATCGCGTTATTTAAATTGAAAGTGGCGGGAAGAGACTAGACTGTAACTGGCTGTAGCAGACATTATTTAGCCACAATGGCGGAAGTGGAAGTGGTTTTATCGGATTCCAATATGGCAATCCAGAGAAACTGTAGTTGAACTTTAATGAATTATTGTATATGTAATTGTTGGTCGTGTTTCTGTAATATAAGTAAAACGTTTTAATATAACTTGAAACGTCATATATTCTGCGTAAAAACACTTATTATTGCTGATTTAATTTAATTACGTTTCATGATGACAGACGAGTATAACACGACTGAAGTTTGTCGACTATGTGCAGTGAGGAGTGGTATGCGAATGCATATATTTGATAAAGAAGGAGAACAACGACAGTTACTGTTTAAGATACGGACGTGTCTACCGATTGTTGTGAGTGGTATATGTCATAACCTGAAAGAATTTTTGTGATGCTAACGGCGGAGTGATTCTTGAACAACCAAACTTATCAGAACATTATTATTATTATTATTATTATCATTATTATTATTATTATGTCATTTTTTTCTTTTTGACGAGATGGTTGTTCTATAGATATAATTTCATGATCGTTTCAGATCTCAAAAGATGACTCATTACCGAAGAAAATTTGCCATCGTTGTGCTTATAAACTTGACATGTTTTATGAATTTAGGCTCAGCTGCCTAAATTCTGAGACGTTGCTTAAAAATCATGTAACAAATGGAAGCCAGGTAATTATATTAATACAATTACTCATAAATTTGCTTCAATTTCATAGACAGAAATTTACGTTCGTAAGTAATGTAATGTCGAGTATTATCGATATCACCATAAATCCATTGTGGCATCCAACTAAAATTTGCGACTATGACCAAAAGATTTATAAAACTTTCATTTTATATTTGTGTGTGTGTGTGTGTGTAGAAGATTTGAAAGTCTAATATGTCTTAATATGAAATTACATTTGACAATACCACTCTGATATTGCAGCAATCGATTAGTAGCGCGTAAAGTCGATAACTGCATAGTCGAACATAAATGTATTGATCCCGCGACTCCAGAGAAGTTGGATCCTACCTCATTTGCAATTTTCTTTGTACTTCGTCTGTTTTTGCCGTTGTTCATGTTTATGTTCAAACATTGGATGTGAAGCACGTTAATTAAGTTTTCAATGTAAGCCTAACGTTATTTAGTAAAGGAGATGGCTCTCTTTCGAGTACATATTAGTTAAAGAGCAATGTGTAATTGATTTTTGACAAATGAACCGGCGAACAAGTTTTGACCTTCATGGTTACGCCATTGAAGGACATTTTACTATATGTTCGATAATTCATTTGAATTTGAATTATTTATATTGCTTTATTTTAAAGGTGGGAGTGAAGTTGGACAAGATGAGTGACGCTCAGAAATTGGCGTATTCAGAGGCCATGCAGCAGCACATGGCCCAAGTGGCTGCATTGCAATGCAAAGGGCAGGATGAAAAACTTGACAGGGGACACAATAAGGACTCTAACGATTGTCAGAACGTAATGGGAGGTCGCTTGGTTGAATATCCAACTACATTAAAAGTTCCACATGTCTCTCAGCCAGTCGGAGACCATTATGTTAACAAACCAAATCCAGAGTCAACATTTGTTATTCCAGATGATGGAATGGGCTTTGATGATGGAGTGAGGGTGCTTAGAGCACTGGGAACTTGGTAAGTTTTTTCTTCCGTTTGTATTGCTGTATGTGTATAGGTACAGGTTGGGACACAACAGGAATCAGCCTGGTATTCATTTATTTGTTTAATGGTGCTGTGCTGTACTAAATAAGGAATTTCAGAACTTGTGTCCATAATTAACTGGGATAGCTCAGTTGGTATAGTGACTAGATATGGACCGGGTGGGAATTGGAGTTTGATTCCTGGCATGGAAAATATATTTTTCTCTTTTATGCATTGTTCAGAGGCTGTGGGGGCCACCCAGCCTCCTGTTCAGTTGGTATGAAGGGCTCCTCCCCCAAGAGTGGGAAGCTGACCAAATACTTCCATCAAGGTTAAGAAAAATGGATCCATAAATAGATTTCATCGTACGTCTTCATGATGTACTGTTTAATTAATTGAGCACAGAAACAATTTACCTTTGCCAAAGTAAAGGTAAAATTATCCGTGTTCATGTGGTTAAGGCTGTGAAGGGTTTGGGTTTTGTTAGGCAAGATTTGTTTGACGTTAATTTCATTTTTCTGTGCTGTGGGATATTTTACCAGGTATGTTTTTCTTAGATTGTAATCATGCCTTCATAAAAAGCAGCAAAGTGGAGTACCATTCATTAGTTGAAAAATATGATACAGTATGCCTGCAAGGTTTTGTCTCTTCCCACAGGTCATTTTTAAGGTATGTGTGTGTGTTGTGTTTCTGGTCATTTTATGTAATAAGAGGGCATTTGAAAAGTAGCAAGATTGGCAACACTGCTCATGTTCAGTTGCCTATATTGAGATGATGTATGTGTTATTTCCTCAAGTGTGTTTACCTGTTAGTGGAAAAAAGCTCATCATTTTCCATAGTGTTTAAGAAACTTTTTTTGCAATGGCATTTAATAAGAACAATGTTTCATCTGTGAATATTTCATATATTTGAAGGCAGAGATTTAGAATAGGATTTTGTGTGAAGCTTGAAAAAATGGGTGAAAAGATGTTAGATATGCTGCAGAGTGTGTACAGAACAGAAGCAAAACCTAAGCTACAGTGTTTCATTGGTGGAGCTCTTTTAAAGGTAAAAATGAAAGGGTGGTTAACACTTGAAGTGGGAGCCCAAACAGTGCTGTTACGGGTGTAAATACACATATCCCTCCTTTTCTGAACACCAAATTTATGAATTTTTGCTACAGAGAAGCATATTAATTTGTTCCTGTCTTTCGCTGAACAAAATTTAATTTTGCTACAACCAACAACTTATATTCATAAGATTTTTTTTTTTTTTGAGGCAGAGAAATAATAGGGAGATGGAGGAGAAGCAGGCACCCTCACCTAAATATCTCCCATGTTCCCAGTGTGTCCACATGCCTTGTGATTGTACAGAATCAGCTGTGCTCTTGATGCATACATTTTGGCCATAAATATCTTGTGTTATTTGTGCCAATCATGGCCCATAGCCAAGTGAAAGTGATGGCAAGACCTGCAAATAAGCCAAAGAAATTAAAAAGTGAAGTAAAGGTATCCGTGTAACAGGCCATGGAGGCCCATATGGTTGTGAGATCTTGAGGTTCCTACATTTTTTAGATAGTCGGCTCATAGATGGCAGTAAGGTTGTCAGTCTTACACGCTGGCATAATAATACAGCTTTAGATGCAGTAACAAATATTATAAACAAGTAAAACTGTACTTTAATGCTTATTTACTATTATAAGATAACGTTAAAACTAATAGAGAAATTTTCTTGGACTTCTGAATAAGTCTGTGACTTTTACCATGTAAAGTAATTGGCATGTCATTTTCGATTTATGAATTTTCAACTTAGGAACAGTTTTTGTGGAATGAATTGCCTTTGCCTGTATTGGTAAAGCTGAACAATTGCTAAAGGAGGACAGGAAAGTGTCATTAAGGAATTTTTTTTTATTGCTAGTGGGGTGGGACTAAGTCCCTTGTACTGTGGCCTCTTCTGGCCTATTGTACCAGCCCCAGATGATAGGTGAGGGTGATTGTGGAGCAGTTGGTGGAATGAAGATTGGCAGGGGAAACCAAAGTACTTGGAGAAAACCTGCCCCAGCGCCACTTTGTCCACCACAAATCCCATTTGACCAGACCCCGGGATCGAACCCGGGCCGCCGTGGTGGGAAGCCACCGACTAACTGCTTGAGTTATGGCGCGGCCCATCATTAAGGAAACTGTGCCAGTTTAAATGTGTCATTCAAAATGGTTCACTGTATCATTATAGTGGAATTAAGCATGAGTCAAGTGTGTGTGCATTGTGCCTAGCTTATGGTCTCACTGATAAGCAGAGAAGAGGGCTTTTGGAAGTCTGCCAACAAGATATTGCTCTTTTTTAACCGTTAATGTCATGTCTGAAGTGCCCCAATCGGGCCAGTGATGAGTATGGTCGTCATGGCCAAAGTACCCTGATTTGGCCAGTCGGGCATTTAAAATCCGCTAGTGGAAGTGTGCGCACACGCCACTAGTAGAAGTGCATGCACAGTCCCAAATATTTATTTTAAATGTAGTAATTAGAAGACAGACTTGAGTAAAACCCTAATAGAGGAATTAAAATGATACCTAAGTGAACAAAAAAAAAAAAGAGTATACGTATGAGTTATGCCCAACCTCATTCATGGACCAGTACTTTTATTGCAGATTAATGTGTTAAAAATATATTGTGACATGTTGACAACGGAGGACACCCACCTCCCCAGCGGTACGTGGTGGTAACGTAGCGCTCGCGTTACTATGGTAATAGGCGAGTACCCGCCCCGCCACTCTCCCCACGGTGATGTAACGCGCAACGTGCGGTGACGCGGCACCGCTTCCTACTGTGACGTGGCACGTAACAGGCACACACAGGCCCTATATAAGAGAGCTGCGCTGCCTGCAGAGTTAGTTGTACTGTGGCCATCGCCGAGTCCTCAAGCTACCTCCGAGTTAGTTCCGAGTTAGCCAGCAACCAGTCAGTTGCATTTGTGATACTGCAGATAGCAGTAATTGTGAATCTGTAATTTGGGTGATTGTAAGTGCGAATGTGAAATAAAATTCGCTATATCAAATACAGCGTGAAGTTATTTGTCGCGTTATACACCCAATATGTGACAACTGGTGTCAGAAGTGGGATTTGGACTTACACACGTGATCAACGAGATTCAAACTCAAGACATGTGACAATTTGGTGTAAGAATTGTTTCACGAGCTTGAACATNCATGCTAGCGAAATTAGACGCCAAATTAGAGGCCGACCAAGAAAAGGCGTCGGCTGATAGAAAAACCGACAAGGAAGAAATGGAGGCCAATAGGAGGAAAGACAGAAGATTTCCTGGCCAAATTAGACGCCGATAGAAAAACCGACAAGGAAGAAATGCTAGCAAGAATGGACGCCAACATGAAATCCTACCAAGAAGAGACGGAGACCAAATGGAAAACTGGCCATAAGGAACTACTAGCCAAAATGGAGGATGACAGGCACGCCTGGCGAGAAGAAATGGCCACCTGGCGAGGAAAGACTGCTGCGGAGACAAGAGGGACCCAAGCAAGCACGGCACAAGAAGAAAAGGTCCCCGAAATAATACCGGTCGGAGAGATGATGGCCTGCCAAGAAATGGAGGCACGTCCAGAAGAAGAAGAGCCAGCCTCAGTGGACATGACACCTGAAGCGGCAGAACTACGAGAGGTACACGTACAAGACGCCGAAGTAATGCCGGTCGGAGAACCGAAGAAGAAAAGGCGCAGGGACTGTCATCGATGAAATATGAAGAATTCGACACGGGAAAGTTGTGGACCCCAGAATAAATTGGCCGTCATCAGCAGGAAGGTGTCCCGCCATGCAAGAGTGTCATGGCGCCGGAGAAACATCTTCAGGCAAATCTTGGACCCGAGGAGATCAAGCATCCCGGATGAAGTTGGCTGCCATCTGCAGGAAGATATCCCGTCGCGCGACAGTGGCACGACGGAGAAGTGCCTCCAAGAAGGAAACTCCCCAGGGAACCTTCGGATACCAGAGAAAGGACGTGGCACCAAGGTCTTGTACCAGCAAGCGGCTGGAAGTCCAGAAGGAACAACGACGTCAGCGAGTGCAAACAACGCATCAAGAGCTGTTACGTCGATGTAAGAAATTTCCGACGAAAGACCTGATGAAGGATTGGACCTTGTGGAGGAGACGACTCCCTCCAAAATGGAAAAAGAGACCTCAAGCAGAGGAGGAACCAGTAATGTAGAAGAATCAGCCTCCCCAGAGTTGAGTTGTAAGGTGGCTATCGCCAAGTTCAGTAGTAGTTGAGCGAGTGTGTTATCAGCAGTCCTCAAGTCAGCAGACTACAGTTGGAGTATAGCAGCCGTCGCGGAAAGAAGAACCAGGCATGTGTGTAAACGTGTAGACTACTGAAGATAGTGTGAAGAGATTTGCCAATAGGGTTATAAATCGTGAAACCCCGCAATCGGTGTAAACAGATTATTGCAATTAAGGTTATAAAGTGTGAAACCCCGCAAGTGTGTGATAATTAATTGTAGCTGTTACTTGTAGGTTGTTGAATAAACCAGTTAATAATCTGAACGGCATCTTCAGTAACGAAACACGTTACAATATAGTAAAATTTGATGTACATACCTTTTTTTGTTGTTATCTGCTTGATGTATATATAGGCTGAAATGAAACTACAGTATTCAATTTCACTATGGACGCACAGAAAGCACATTGCATTCTATCTCGTTCACGACCATAGAAAGGGCAATAATCTCTTGCAGCTATAACGGAAGGTCTCAGCATTGAAGAAGGGATCATCAAATTGTTTCCTCTAGCTTTTTCTTGAATAGCCATGCTGTCCTTTAGCTGAAAGATTAAAAAATCTGAAGAGTGTAGCAAAGATGTAAAATTTGCCAGCTGAGAAGGAAATGATTTTATTGCTTCCATCTGTTTTATGATACCAGGGACTGCTAAAGTATGTCAAGTGCTACAAGCAGGAATGAATTTATAATGAAGAACAGCTCTGTGAGGAACAAGGAAACCATTTTTACAGTACGCAT